CTCTGTCCCAGATTGACTTTCTTTTTAGTAAAACTAACCAGAATAATCATGGATTGTGTGCTCACTAAATCTATTATTCTTTTTTTTTTATATATAAAAGAATTTGCCTTTTTTCCCACTTGACCAAATATTGGACATTTATAAAACTTCACCAATAAAAGAGATTCGATATAAGCATTTAAAGGAAAGGCAGCTTGGAGCTGGGTGGGAGCTCGATTTGGAATCTAAGTCATTCCATTTAAGGATCTGGCCTTCTGCTTTGAAGGCTCAGGGTCTGAAGCTTGTTGATAAGCTTCGTAACAAGATGAAAAAGTACTGGAGGTAGTTATAAATGCACATTTATTAATTTACAAAGGGAGAGGACTCATAATAATCAGTATACTAAAAGTCTACACAATAAGTGCATTCTCCTCTTATTGTCAAGCTATATGTGAAACCAACTTATAAGAAGATTTTAGTGAATATGAAGTCAGAATAAGGATACACCGAGAAATTTATTTTAATGACATTGGCCTAAGAGAGATATATTTATCTCCCTATGAGATCTTGTCAAAGGGATTAGAAACACTTTGCCATGCTCTTACCAAAGCCTGGCACATTCCCCCACCCCCATTCTCCACTTACTTTTAGTAATCCATTTAATCTTACTTTAATTATCACTTTCTTAGAGAAGCCATTCCTGGTCTTCTTATCTAAGAAGTGGCCCCTGATGTGTACTCTGGAGAACTTTGTAATTTTCTTTTGTAACACTTGCCTCAATCTGCAGCGCTACTTTTATTTATTGTTTTAAGTTTTATCTGCCTCTGAACTGTAAGCTCCAGGAGGGCAGGCAAAATGTTCATTTTGAGCTCTACTATTCTCAGCACCTAGCACAGTGCCTGGCATAGCTAGGAGCATTCAGTACACATTTTTGAATGAATAAATGAAAGCACAAGGTAGTGGCTAATTACAAAATTACAAAATTAGTTTTCTTATCAGTAAAATGAGAAAATGATAGTATAATACCTACATGATAGGTATTATACTATCTAATGAGGATCAAATTCTAATGAGATTTAAGTAAGTTAATAGACATAAAATACTTGGAACAGTGATGGCACAGAGTAAGCACTCAAGCAGAGTTAGCTGTTAATATTATTTTACAAAGGATAATTTTAAGAAAAGTTAAAAGCTTAATTTCTAAAGCTCAGCTTTCTTGAGACATTACTAGAATAGTACTATCAATACTAACTTCTGAAGATATTTATTCTGTTTCCAAGGTTTAATAGAACCAGTTTTTTATCACAAAATTCTTAAATTAAATATGTAAATATTAAATAGCTTATACCAAAGCCTTTTCAGCATGAAATAAAATTTTTTTAAATTATACTTTAAGTTCTGGGATACATGTACAGAATGTGTACCTATGTATACATAGGTATATACATAACATGGTGGTTTGGTGCACCCATCAACCTGTCATCTACATTAGGTATTTCTCCTAATGCTATCCCTCCCCTAGCCCCCCACCCCACTGACAGGTCCTGGTATGTGATGTTCCCCTCCCTGTGTCCATTTGTTCTCATTGTTCAACTCCCACTCAAGAGTGAGAACATGCAGTGTTTAGTTTTCTATTCTTCTGTTAGTTTTCAGCATGAAATCAATGTTATCTTATTTTTACAATGTTTTGAATTTACTGATGTGTACTGATCTATTATGCATAGATTTCAGATGTTCTTATTTCCAAGTTGTTGGAAGGGACATCTCTGTAACAGTGAACTATGAACAACAATACTGTAGGTGGAAATCAAAAATTTAGAAAGAAAAAAATAAGAACATATTAACTATATGCGATTTTATAATAAAAGAGGTGTTCATTGTATTTGTTTTATATTGTTGTAAAGACTTTAGTATGGGGCAAAACACCTTATTTCATAATTATATATTATTATGTTGTAAGGCAAAACTTGATTAAGTTGGCTGTATGACTGTTAAGAGTCTTAGTCCCTGGATCATTCATTCAACATTCATTGAGTGACTAATAGGGCTAGTTTATGACATTGTGAATTTGCACTAAGGCACGATACAAATAGGATTCTGTTTTTTGATAAATTGGTATTTTGATCATCAAAACTTTTATCAATTATTTTTTATATATCACTGTTATTTTCAATGATAAAATACTGACAACAATAATGTATAAAAATGAATTGCTAAAATAACCAAAGTAAGGGCAACTACCCTTTTCAAATTTTCTTATCCTATATATGCATGTACTACATTATATATATTTCAAATTTTCTCATCCTATACATGCATGTGGTAATGACCTCTGGTCATTAGCTATAGCTGCTACTCAAAGAGCTTATTTTCATTCACAATTAAGTATTTTTTACTTAGAATTAAAATATTTATTTCAAAATATATTCCTTTCTTACCTTTAAGGCCACTATAATACTTAATCCAAAATCAAGACTTTAGAATGTGCCTTTCTATATTTGAGCCTTAATTTGTTTACCTTCTCCCTTGTTGGAATCTCCATCTTTTTATTTTCTCTCATAGGGGTTCTACTGTTTTCAGTCCCTAAGACAAGATTATAGCCTGTGTCCACATGAATATTCCACAGATTAAACTAGTGCGCTGTTCTTAGAATTGAATCAAACTCAAATATCTTGTAAAATTACTCATACGGCATCACACACTGGAGTCTTTGGGGGGTGTGAACTAGGGGAGGGACAGCAGGGGTTGGGAGTTGGGGAAGGATATCATGGGGAGAAATGCCAGATATAGGTGATGGAAAGGAAACCACACTGCCATGTGTATACCTATGCAACAATCTTACATGCTCTTCACATGTACCCCCAAACCTAAAATGCAATAATATATATATATTTTAAAATGACTCATCTGTTATACCCTTTCTCCTTACCAAAAAAAAGTACTTATAAGAACTATAATTTTTACACTTGAGTTATCAATTATAGAGAGATGTGTTAAAAATCTTCCACAATGGTTGTAGATCTGCCATTTTCTCATAGTAATATTATAATCTTTTGTTTTATATATATAAAATGACTATATAATTAGGTATACATTGCTACGATATATGATAGTAGGTCTAGAATAGACATTAATGAAACACAATGTATAAGTATAAAGCATATTTATTATTCCACTCCCACTTATGCGCTCATGAGAGACATCAGTAATTCATCACAGCACTCCATTTTGATCCTAACGTTGTTCTGGAATGTGCTTTAACACAGTGCTCTGTGCAATCATCTTACTTGTCACTCAAGGTAATTCCTGTTTGCCTTTCCCTACCCCATCTTATTTTCTTGAAAAATAGAATATACTAAAAAGGTGGGATCAAATATCCCATCAATGGGATGAATATTATAAAATATTACTCAATAGATGGTATTGGAACAACTGATACTTTTTAAAATGATGTCATGTTTCTAATTTTCATCATATGCTAAAACTAAGTCTGTATTGATTGAAACAGTTAATGTAAATATAACAAACTTTTAGATGGTCTAGAAGAAGACACAGGTGATTATCTTTTCTTGAGATCTCAAGACCTTTTATGAACATATAAGCAGAGGCTATATGTTCTCTGCTTAAATTATGAGAGAGCTTAAAGAAAATCTCTGGTAAATAATGTTTCATAAAAGTTAAAATCATCCTTCTTTCAGTCATAAAAAGCAAATGGAACAAATTAGGAAAAGGTTGACAGTGTACATAATACTTAAAGTTCTTAATATATGGTGATCTTATAAACTAAGAAAAAGATATATTCTAGGTGAAAAATGACAAAATTTAAAAAAGAAGAAGTATTAGTGGTGAATATGCATACTACAAAAGGTTAAATTTGACATTAACACACACCAACTCAAGACAATTTACCTGTCAATTTATCATAGTTCAAAAATAATAATGTCATAATGGAATGTACATTGTTGAAAATATCTGAAGGGAAATTTGGAAACACAGATCAAGAACTTCATACATATTCACAGACTTTGATTCAGTAACTCCATTTCTATTTTTACCTGAATGCCATAATTTGAGGATTGCATATGAAAAGAACAGATAAGATATTGACATTTTATTCCTAATGATTAGAAATTGGAAATAACTGAAATAGGTGAATGATTACACAGATTAGAGTATACCTATATACTGGAAGAAAATTTATAATAACTCATTATAGTAAAATGAATAAAAAATGTGTAACATACATAAAGTTCTATCGAACACATTTTCTATGTATATAGGTAATTTGAAAGAAGATGAGAAATACATGTACAAACATGGTAATAATATTTGTTTCCTAAGTTTTGGAACTACTGAGACATGATCGTTGTTTTTGTTTTGGTTGTTCTCAACGTTTTATGGTCCTTTTATTATTATTTTACAATAAATAACTATAATCAGAAAGATATTTTTAAAAAGAAAATGTGAAAGAACAAATAGTGCTCCAAAATCACATCAGTTTATTGCAGTCCCCAAATATTTCCTAATCTGGAAAGCTACAACCAACAATTTCTTCATTAGGCTATTGCCAAAGAAACATCTCAAAGTTACTTCACTGATGAAGACAGAAAACCACAGAAAATTTCTTCTTAGGTACATATTGTAATAACACATAAAGGCCTGTGTAAATCACAGCTCAAAATCGCCAGGAGTTTCTCTAGTCAACACAGTTCAAACCAGCCCCTGCCCTGGGCTAATCCAGAGGAACCTCTCTAGTCTGGTCCGTAAGCCACACACTCAGGCTTTGAGAAAGGGCCAGAAACAAAGCTGGTTTGCTTTCCTAATCCTGGTGATGACCAGGACATTACAAAAATAAGTTTTATCTGTGGGTGTATATTTTTATTAAATTAAATCTCCCGAGAGCATTGGAGTTATGCATAGACCCTATTTATTAATCTTGCATCAGCTCTAAGTGATTGTTTTAAAAATAGCCTATGAATAAATTGACATGTCATACTGATTCAGTTGTGCAGCATAGTGTTCCTAGCATAATTTGGTGCTGCTGAGCTTCTGAGGGACTAAACTGAAGGATTCTCTTTCCTGAGGTCGTATGTTTCTCAAAATGGGAAAATTATTTTCCAGGTAGCCATGACATCAGCATTACACATTTTTTAGCCCTTATTTAGCCAGTATCTTTATTACAACTGTGCTGCCCTATTTATAGATGATGCTAGAAGATTCCATTATTGTATTCAATCACACACAGAACCATTTTCATACTGCATGTGCAACTAGCAATTGTTGCTAGGTAAGGAGTAGGGAGAGTTGATTGTATTCATTTTCTTATCTTTCAATAACCTGGCAAGAAAGAGGAGTAATAATTTTAGGAAGCAATTTGCAAAGCTACTTTAAATATAGTGTTAGTAGTTTGAATAGATAATGCTTTCATTTTCTGAAATTGGGATGTGTAAGTGAAATTAAATTGAACTGAAATTAATAGATGCAGGACTCACCTAAGGACTTGTCATGTGAAATGTTGTCTAAAACCTTTTTTTTTTTTTTTTTTTTTTTTGTGCTCATGTTAACCGTTAAGTCTGCAACTATGAATTACTCCTGTCAAGGTCACTATCTAGCCAAATCAGATGGATACTTCCCTTGTCTAGACCGTCCTCACCCTCTCAGCAGCATTTAACCAATTTGATCTCTTTGATCTCTTTCTCTTTAGGTACTTCCTTCTCCTTCTTACAAGAATGCACACACCTGGATCCCTCCAGCTTCTCTGGCAATAGTTTCCTTACTATCTTTTGTTTTACTAACTTGCTCTTCTTCTTCTTCAATACAGTCTCTGTAGGTTGGTGTTACCAAGGTAAAATCCTGGGCCCTTGTTTTTGCTCCATCTATTTTATGACCATATGCTACCTCATGGTTGAACATCAACCTGCTGTACACTCCCAAAAATCAGGTAGCAAGATGCCTCCAGTTGTGGCTATCCAGTTGTCCCAACACAATTTGTTGAAGAGACTATTTTTGTATATTCTTGTCATCTTTATTTAAAAAATCAATTGATCATAAAGGCATACATTTATTTCTAGGTTCTCTATTCTGTTCCATTAGTCTATTTGTCTGTTTTTATGCCAGTACCATGCTGTTTTGATTACTATAGCTTCACAGTATACAGTTATTTATCACCTAACATCAGGAGATGTTTTGAGAAATGCATCAATAGTTCATTTTGTTATGGTGTGATCATCACAGAGTGTACTTACAGAAACCTTGATGGCATAGCCCACTGCACACCTAGGCTGTACGGATATCCTATTGCTCCTAGACTGTAAACCTGTCAACATGTTACTACACTGAATACTGCAGGCAGTTGTAATACAGTGGTATTTGTGTATCTAAACATAAAAAATCATGGTTTCCAGCTTCATCCTTGTCCCTGAAAATACAGTATAAAATACAGTATAAAAGATACAAATGGTACACCTGTATTGGGCACTTACTGCAAATGAAGGTTTCAGGACTGGAGGTTGCTCTGAGTAAGTCACTGAGTGAATGGTGTGTGAATGTGAAGAAGGCCTAGGACACTAGTCTACACTACTGTAGACTCTATACACACTGTACGCTTAAGCTACACTAAATTTATTTTTTAAATATTTTTCTTTCTTCAATAATAAATTAACTTTAGCTTACCATCTATCTTTATTTATTTTATTTTATAAACTTTTTAAATTTGTAAGCTTTTTGACTCTTCTGTAATAATATTTTGTTGGAAACATAAATATATTGTTCAGCTATCAAAATGTTTTTTCTCTATATCCTTAAGCTCTTTTCTATCTTTACATTTTTTATTTTTATTTTTTTACTTTTTAAACTTTTTTGTTAAACACTAAGACAAACACACACAATAGCCTTGGCCTACACAGGGTCAGGATAAAAACTCACTGTCCTTCAACATCTTGTCCTGCTGGAAGGTCCTCGGGGCAATAACATGCATGGAGCTGTCATCTCCTATGGTAACAATGTATTCTTCTAGAAAACATGCCTGAGGCTGTTTTACAGTTAATTTTTGTATTTATTTTATTTTTTATGTTTTTTTATTGCATTTTAGGTTTTGGGGTACATGTGAAGAACATGCAAGATTGTTGCATAGGTACACACATGGCAGTGTGATTTGCTGCCTTCCTCTCTTTCACCTATATCTGGCATTTCTCCCCATGCTATCTCTCCCCACCTCCCCACCCCTCCCCGATTTCCCCCAACAGACCCCAGTGTGTAGTGCTCCCCTCCCTGTGTCCATGTGTTCTTATTGTTCGACACCTGCCTATGAGTAAGAACATGTGGTGTTTGATCTTCTGCTCTTCTGTCAGTTTGCTGAGAATGATGGTTTCCAGGTTCATCCATGTCCCTACAAAGGACACAAACTCATCGTTTTTGATGGCTGCATAATATTCCATGGTGTATATGTGCCACATTTTCCCTGTCCAGTCTATCGTCGACGGGCATTTTGGTTGGTTCCAGGTCTTTGCTATTGTAAACAGTGCTGCAATGAACATTCGTGTACATGTGTCCTTATAGTAGAATGATTTGTAATCCTTTGGATATATACCCAGTAATGGGATTGCTGGGTCAAATGGAATTTCTATTTCTAGGTCCTTGAGGAATTGCCACACCATCTTCCACAATGGTTGAACTAATTTACACTCCCACCAACAGTGCAAAAGTGTTCCTATTTCTCCACATCCTCTCCAGCATCTGTTGTCTCCAGATTTTTTAATGATTGCCATTCTAACTGGCATGAGATGGTATCTCAATGTAGTTTTGATTTGCATTTCTCTAATGACCAGTGATGATGAGCATTTTTTCACATGTTTGTTGGCCTCATGTATGTCTTCTTTCGTAAAGTGTCTGTTCATATCCTTCGCCCACTTTTGAATGGGCTTATTTGTTTTTTTCTTGTAGATCTGTTTTAGTTCTTTGTAAATTCTGGATATTAGCCCTTTGTCAGACAACAGCCAATATCATACTGAATGGGCAAAAACTGGAAGCATTCCCTTTGAAATCTGGCACTAGACAAGGTTGCCCTCTCTCACCATTCCTATTCAGTATAGTAGCGGAAGTTCTAGCCAGAGCAATCAGGCAAGAAAAAGAAATAAAGGGTATTCAAATAGGAAAGGAGGAAGTCAAATTGTCTCTATTTGCAGATGACATGATTGTATATCTAGAAGACCCCATCATCTACAATCAAGATTTTGGGCCCCATCAGCCCCAAATCTCCTGAAATTGATAAGCAACTTCAGCAAAGTCTCAGGATACAAAAATCAATGTGAAAAATCACAAGCATTCCTATACACCAACAACAGACTTAAAGAGAGCCAAATCAAGAACGAACTGCCATTCACAATTGCTACAAAGAGAATAAAATACCTAGGAATACAACTAACAAGGAATGTAAAGGATCTCTTCAGGGAGAACTACAGGCCACTGCTCAACGAAATAAGAGAGGACACAAACAGATGGTGAAACATTCCATGATCATGGTTAGGAAGAATCAATATCGTGAAAATGGCCATACTGCCCAACATAATTTACAGAGTCAATGCTATCCCCATCAAGCTACCAATGACCTTCTTCGCAGAACTGGAAAAAACCACCTTAAACTTCATATGGAACCAAAAGAGAGCCCGCATAGCCAAGACAATTCTAAGCAAAAAGAACAAAGTGGGAGGCATCACACTACCGGACTTCAAACTATACTACAAGGCTACAGTAATCAAAACAGCATGGTACTGGTACCAAAACAGAGATATAAACCAATGGAACAGAACAGAGGCCTCGGAGGCAACACAACATATCTACAACCATCCGATCTTTGACAAACCTGACAAAAACAAGCAATAGGGAAATGATTCCCTGTTTAATAAATGGTGTTGGGAAAACTGGCTAGCCATGTGCAGAAAGCAGAAACTGGACCCCTTCCTGACACCTTACACTAAAAGTAACTCCAGATGGATTAAAGACAAAATAGACAAAATAGACAAATAGACAAAATAGACAAAAGGCAAAATAGACAAATGGGACCTAATCAAACTCCACAGCTTCTGCACAGCAAAAGAATCAGTCATTAGAGTGCATCGGCAACCAACAGAAATGGAAGAAATTTTTTGTTTTTAAATAAGTACAGGGTGTACACACCAAAATAATAAAAATATAGTACAGTAAATACATGAACCAGCAATATGATCATTTATTATCATTAACAAGTATTATATACTGTACGTAATTGCATGTGCTATATTTTTATATAACTAGAAGTGCAGAAGGTTTGTTTTACACCAGCATCACCATAATCATGTGAGTAATGTGTTGTACAATGACATTAGGACACCTGCAATGTTACTATGTGATAGGGAATTTTTCAGCTTCATTACAATCTCATGGAACCACTGTCATATATGTGGTCCATTGTAAACTGAAACATTGTTATGTGGTACATCTCTGTATTTGTAAGTTAGATAGTGTGATACATCCAGCTGTGTTGTTTTTGCTCAAGATCCCACTGCTTGTTTTTGTCAGGTGTGTCAAAGATTAGATGGTTGTAGTGGTGTGGTCTTATTTCTGAGGTCTTTATTCTGTTCCATTGGTGTATATATGTTTTGGTACCAGTGCCATGCCGGTTTGGTTACTATAGCCTTGTGGTACAGATCAAAGTCAGGCAACATGATGCCTCCAGCTTTGTTCTTTCTGCTTAGGATTGTCTTGGCTATGTGGGTACTTTTTTTGTTCCATATGAATTTTAAAGTAGTTTTTTTCTAGTTCTGTTAAGAATGTCAATGGTACTTTGATGGGAATAGCACTGAATCTATAAACTACTTTGGGCATTCACAGGATATAGTTAGAGAAGAAATCTGATGACATCTACATCTCTTCTATCAAAACTGTATTATAGCTGGGCATGATGGCTCATGCCTGTGATTCCAGCACTTTGGGAGACTGAGGCAGAAGGATCACTAGAGGTCAGGAGTTGAGACAAGCCTAAACAATATAATAAGACCCTGTATATACAACAAATTTTAAAAGTAGCCAGGTATATAAGCACATACCTGTAGTCTCAGGTACTCTGGAGGCTGAAGCAGGAGGAT